ATGAGCTCTCCTTCACTAAGCAATTCTTGTGGTAATCTTAAAGTGGACTGCCGTGAAGCGGGAGCATTTCTGAAGAATTGGCCTAAATTCAAAATTCTGCAAAATTCATTATATGTGACCCAATATGAGAAATCCAGGCTATCTGCGGGAATTATCATTTTGAGGTATGGGCTCATAATCACGAAAAATATTTACCTGGATGAAATTCATTTTATCATATAAACATGCTATATAAACAAAATCCTTTCATTTGATACCAAAATCGGCAGTAGCAAAGCCTTCTTTGCTGAGTAACAAGCCCTTCGACATTTTTTCTTGATTGTGCACGGAGAATGTTAAACGGAGCTGACATGGAATATAAACGGAGGGCTTTAAGGTCCAATGGTGTGTTATCTGATGTAGAATTTGAAGAAGAAAAGAAGGCTATTATGGCTACATCGAAAACATTGAAATAATTGGTAAACTTTGATGCATTTAAATAATTTTGTGCATAACTGGTCATGTATTTTACTATTCTATGTAACCACAATGTTTAACAAAGTTACAACAGTCTTGTTCTGTAATTATGCTAAATGCCACAGTTATTAAACTACTTGATGACAGTGTAGTTTGAAACAATAAGTAATTTTCCTTCAGAATAGCTTTCATTTTTCCAAATACTGATTCTAGAGGATTTAGATCAGGAGAATAAGGTGGCAACATTGTACGTTTTGCACCGATCTGTTCCATTAAGTCAGTGTTATACTCTGTGTGGTGTATTGATGCGTTATCCATGATGACAACAGACCTGACATTGATATAGTTAAAAAGTTTTAGGAGAGGTATTAAACTTTTTTCAATGAAGTAAGAGAATCTGCAGAAATTAATTGTCCCTTCTGCCACAAACACATCATGAATTGCATTTGTTGACGTAACAGGGATTGTGGAGTACCTAATGCCGCAAATTGATATTGTGTGATCTATTGGTCTTAATCTTCGTATCTGATGGAATTCCATCTATCACAGCCACTTTCGTCAATCCAAACTAGCATGCATGGATCATATATAGATATTTCACTCATAAATTTAGCCCTCATTGTATCACATCTCTGGATTGGAATGTGTCGCATGGCTTGCCTTGTACAGCCCATGTAATGCAAGGTCTTGCATATGCATCAAAAAATGACGGCT